AAAACAGAGGTACACACAGATGCATCCAAGTTCGGCATCGGAGGCGTACTGTTGCAAGAACAAAAATACGGTTTAATGCATCCGGTCATGTATGTCAGTAGACGCATGACGCGAGAAGAACGCTGCCACTTGTGCGAGCTTGAAGCGTTAGCTGTTGTTTGGACGGTTGAGAAACTTCAGCCGTACTTGTACGGGATCGAGTTCACACTCGTAACGGATTCTAGCTCACCAAGAGCCACACTGTCTGAGCGAGATTTGATGCCACGCATAGGAAGGTGGTATCTGTAGCTGCAGGACTATACGTTTGACATGGAACACATCCCAGGAAACAAGATGAACCACGTCGACGCGCTCAGTAAGGGCTCCTGCTTCGGGACCCGATGAAATGTATGTCGCCACGTGTGTCAGCGTTTCCGCTACAGAGCTTTCTGACGATGACTGATTTGTATTTGCCCAAAAGACCGATCCAACGTATCAAGGAATCAAAAACTACTTACAGGGGTTTCCAAGAATAAAAGTGTCGCAGAGTCTCAAGAGCGAGTTTGTGCTAGCAGAGGGAAAGATTTTTAAGAGAACCCATGACAACGGAGAAGATCGTCCGCTATGGGTTGTGCCCAGAAGAGCACGTTGGTAGTAGCACGACGATGCCATGATGATGTTTGTAACTTTGCTGTTGAGAAGACCATGGCACTACTCACCAAGAAGTATTGGTCTCCAAGAATCCGTCGTTACCTCAAGCGACACATTGCGTGCTGTCTGGAGTGCTTATATCGCATGGTTCCACCCGGGAAAAAGCCAGGCAAACTACACAGTATTGAAAAAGGCGCCGTGCCCTTTGACACCGTTAATACGGAGAACTTAGGCCCATTCGTCTGCAGCGCAAGTGGCAATACATACTTAATAATGGCAGTAGATGGTTTCAAAAGTTCGTTGTCATTCTAGCCGTGCATAGCAGCACTTCGTCAGGCTACGCAAAAACTTTCTAAGGGACCTCGTTAGCATTTTTGGCACTTCATGAAGATTGGTTACAGATCAGGGCACCGCTTTTAACAGGTGACAGTTCGAGCAGTACAGAAGTCTGTCAACGTCGCCTACGTGACAAACGCCGCCTGGACACCCCGACATAACTGGCATGTCGAGAGATACAACAGAATCATAACACCCACAATGGCCAGTCTGTCAAAAAGAAATGATGGAAAGGACTGGGTTGAATCGCTAACTTAAGTCCAATGGGGAATGAAGAACATGCTAAACCGAGCAACTAAAGCAACACCCTTCACTCTGCTTTTACTTTCGTTCCCCAAGCTTGACAGGTGACAAAGTCGACAACGCTGTTGCACAAATTTCGGACGCTACTCTGCTCATACAGCGAGAAAAGACAATAGAAAATATACGTCAAGATCAAGAGAAGCAGAGGAAATATCACGATAAGAAACGAGGAGTCGCGCCAAGTTACAATCCAGGTGATATCGTGATGCTCCAGAGAGAGCCAAGGTCAACGGGCGAGTCGCGTAAGCTGCGCCCCAAATACCAAGGCCCGTATATCGTTGTGAAAAGCAACCTCACGATAGGTATAAAGTTCAAGATCTACCGGAGACCCAACGGTCGTGACGTTTCTACGAAGGTATTGCGGCTGTTGACATGACGAAGCGCTTCACGGTCAACGCCGAGAGTAGCGCTGAGACCAACGAGGACGGACTGTCAACGGAAGCGTAGAGCGACACGGATATAGTAGAGGTAGAACCTCAGCAAAAGGTAGCGTGAGTCGGATGATCATTTCACCGAAACATTCCAAGTTCCAGCGACAAGGAGTCCCAGACGGGCCGACTGGGATGGAGGGTAGCCGTGTTGTAAACGGCAGGAGCCGTCGGCACGTATGTGCGAGAACCGCGAACGCATGCCGTAACGGTTCCACGCGATAGTGTATCATCGGTGTGTTACGTCACTTAGAGAGTCTGTTTGTGGACACAGAAGAAAAAGGAGACTCGATATGAACGAGATTTGGAGGCAGGATACCCGTCTCGGTGACGAGGGGATATCGCATTGATAAACCGTCTGTTTGTTCTCTTTTTAGAATAGGGATGACGAAAATACTGTTTGACTACATTCGTATCAGCTGCAATGTTGTTTTCTCCTGCCAACATATGGTGTCGAGACCGTGAGTTTTGTCGCCTACCATATGCTACAAACGTTTTTTTTTTTCGCCCACCAACACCCCAGTGATTGTCTCACTTTCAACTTCCACTGTCTGTTTCCAGCTCAGAAAGAATCCTACGTACAACCGTACTTTCTGGTATATATACCGCGCTGGCGTATAAATCGCGCTCCCTATAAACCTGTGTTTTTTCAACAAAGTTGTTATATAAGTCCAACATTTGTATAAGTCCCACCTATAGTATATTGGCACATTCGGCACGGTTGAGTCGCACCGAAGAATTCATGTATATTTGCACCGTGATGGCGACATATCCGCAAGTGGGAGCAAGTTTCAACAGTTTGGTCAACGAATTTAACGAAAAATAAAAACCACGCGGCTGGTTTGCATAGTTTTGATCCATACATCTAGAAACAAACGCAGATATGTCGCATCGTTGTATGGGACGCATCGATGGAAAAATCGAAAAAATACGTGACATATACACAAAAAATGCCATAATTTCACAAATTACTGTGGCACTCATATGAGATTACTTGACATTTCCCATTTCAACCGCATGTAAACTAACGCTTTTAAGGCCATTTGGACGGCCTGCAAAATTTGGATTATCAACTTTTTGCGCTTAAATTTACTACTGAGGAGCAAGCAGGTGGTACAAGCTTACCGTGAAATAAATAAATCATAAAAAGGCTTAACTGGTTAAAAAAAGAACACAGAAACCTTTTCTGTGCAATCTACTACTCCACTTTGCAGACAATGCACGCGTAGTGAGAAGTGCTGCGGGCAGATGGCGTACCCCGCGCCGAGAGAGCGCCGGCCCATTCGGGTTCTTCACCGGGAGCTGCTATAATAACTCGAATCGGCCGACGCACCCTAGAGAGCCTAGAAAGAAAGAGGGTTCCATTTCAAACCACAGGAGCGTTGGATAATTAATGGTGGACACTTCGAAAATTGCCAGTGCGCATGGGCTGCGTTTTCGCATAGAAAGGAGGGAAGAAGTATAAAAGGCGGGGACGTTTGCAGACTGTCAACTCTTTCGTTTCCTCCTCGCTGCTGGTATAAAAAAATGGGCCCATGAACCACGCGAAGCCTATCCAGCAGTTGGGTACTCTCCGTAATGCAGGCTCTTTAGCAATCCCTCGACGCGGCGTACACCATCTGTCGGCAGCACTTCTCACTACGCGTGCATCGTCTGCGAAGGGGCGGCGTTGATTGCCCAGAATAAGTTTCAGTTCTTTTTTTTATTTGAACGAGGTAATTTAATCTCTTGGTTTTTTCACTATAAGCTTTCATCTCCTGCTTGCTCCTATGTTGTAAATCGCTATGCGATCCGTAGATAAAACGATTTTTTCGGGCCGTAGAATAATTATTGCGAATATTTTATCTTAAAACTTCCAGACGCTTTATTTATACGCCTACTCATATTTCGTACAGATTCTATATTTGTAGACTGACATACAAAACTGCATGAAACGCATAGAAACTGACTAGCATACAGCACTGCGAGCAACGATTTTAATCAATAGGAGTGAAAGCACTAAATTTTATTATACAATTTTCTGAACATGTTACCAATTGATTAGTGCCTCAAATGCCATAAAACATATACATACGGCTTGCACGATTAATCACCATGTTTTCTGTCTATATGTCCTGCTGTCTTTAGTACACGCTCATCAACCGCCACAGACACATACCTCGTGCACATGCATACATATACGCCTTTTACCCTCCTCATCTGCACTCATATACATACGCTTTTGCCCCCCTTTTCTGTGCATCTGTCGATCTACAATCATGTCCCGGATAATGTAGTTCACATGTGATCTTTAGCGTTGAATAACTGCGTATATTTTCTTTTTGTTCTGTTTTTTTTATGTTTAGGTGTGTGCTTCGTTCTGATTGGATGTTAAGCATTATGATACTAATAATTCCTGATGAAGGGCTTCCCCTTGTCCATGGAATTTTATTCTCATTATTCGTCACGAGCACCCGATTATCTGTGTGCAGTCATTGGTCCAGCTCGCTTGCACCTCTGCATTAATTGCATTATCAGCATAACCTTCAAGTTCAGGCCGTTCACACTTGGTACTAGACTGGTGGCAGCTGTTAAAACCCGTTTGCTCCAGTGACGTCTAACTCCTGGTTAGCTCATTCGTGGAACGCTCCTCTGGAAATGGAGAGGTCCCTGGTTCGATACCAGGACCAGGCGGATATTTTCTGTCGCGTACTAGTCACGTAGCTTTGTTTGGAGATTTCTGTTTGTGGTTGGTCCGCTTCGGTCCCTTTCTCCGGCGATTATTACGATCGTTATTCTTGTCCAGCTCGCTTGCACCTACGCGTTACATGCAGTAGCATCGTTCTCGCAATTTTTTTCTCTAAAGTTTTTCAACTTTATTGAAGTTTTTATATCGACAGGTTTATTTGTTTCTAATTTTGGATTTGGATTGTTTATTGTTAATTTTTATTGCTTTGCAGTTAGTTTTATATTTGTATCGTTTATGGGCCACTCATGTTCTTTTCGTTTGTGCGACTTGGTTCTCATTTATATACGATGTTGTTCCTTTGATGGACACTAAATGCTGGGCCAACATTTTATTGCAAACTAACCCTTTATTACCAAGGGGTCCTACCAACAGTTTTAAAATTTTTAAGACACCTGCCTGAATACATATCTTATGAGTACCTTCTTTGAAAGTGAAAACATTTTAGTTTGTCTTGAAGTGGTTAACGTGGTATAATATTATTTAAATATTTACATAATGGAGACCTAACGTTTTGAAAGATAGAGGCAAATAACCAAGAATTCACATTCTTGTTTTTTCCATGATTTCCCCCAAAGGCTACATCTCGAGGTCTGGAGGCTTGGAAGTTTGGCTTCGTGTTTTCCGCGCTCAAGTGCGGAATGAGTTTGGGATCGTTTTCAATAAGAAAAATGGTATGTACTTGAAATTTATTCCTTGAAATATAAAACAGTACATTTGCAATAGACGTGAATATGGAATAGCCGCAAAACCAATATTGAGTCGGTTTGTGCAGCAGTGTCTCTTACCCGCGAAGTGCGGATTTAAACGCTCCATCTTTTATTTTTTTGTTTTTTATTATTATTATTCAGCTTGAAGAGTTTCCTTTCTGTCACGTTATTTAATGTCAGAAAATGCACTTTCAAAAGCTCCTGAGGGAGCGCTCAATTAAAAAACATGTCCGTAAGTTCACTTCCCTCTAGAAAATGGGGACAGCTAATCACAGCGAGCAATGGCAGGATCCCAGGGGATTAAGAAGCTAACAATAATATTATACCTCAAAACCTGCGATGTGCCCAGAGACAATGCGCTTGACTGGAGTCATTAAATACGCTACGCTTCAGAGTAGCGACCCTTCAGACATCTTGGTGTTTAAGATCATGGTCGCCAGTTATCTGAAGCTTTATTTGAAATTGCAAGAAACGCTTTCCCGTCCTCCCGAAATGTTAAAACAGTTCGCGACAAAGCAAAACATTCTAACCTAAGCTTCCTGCCACCATTTCTGAAGCATATGAAGTCAAATTCTTGATATGTGACAGTCGACAGTTGCGTCTGCTCTGTACTAAGCACCAAGATGGCGACGCTCACTAGCAGATCGGGGAATGGAGTGCCGATACGTAGCTCATTTACTGGCTTTACGCTTGGCGTTTCACTTGCTCACTGTCACTGCGAACATCGCATTTATCAGGTCTAAGCATATTCTAAGCTTCTTATTTGACGGAATTATTTTATTGTGCACCGTCTTTGTATTCTGCAGGAAGTAAACTCATAGACTTTCTTCAGAGTGTTCTACACCAAGATGCAATCGAAACAAAACAACAACAACAAAAAAAGTCTTCCTGTTAAATCGGTTTAATCAATAGGAAGATCGATCATTATGACGGTCCGATGGTTATGTCGTTGCTTTGACAAGGGACTGAAAGTGCAGTTTTACCACAGTGCCTATGACCATTGAAGGATGATTACGATCACCCTCTTGATTTACGCATTCAAATAAAGAAACCAACATTGATTTACGTTTTCAATGCATCGCGGGTCAGTGTACACGCAGAAGCTTTTGAGGACGCATAATCACAGGACAGCCTAAACTTCTCGGGGGCGCGGTCAGTCACGAGCACCCGATTATCTGTGTGCAGCCATTGCGAAGTGAGAAGGAAGGTGCGTGGCCATAATACTGTTTGCGTTTCATTAAGTTGTCCGTGCCTGTGAAGTCGCCGACTTTGACAAGCCGCAAAAGACGACTCGAGCGGCTCGTGCGAGCTCCGGTGCCGCAGGTGCGAGCGCGAGGAAAAGAAATACAAATTAAAATAAATTAGGAAAGTTCTGCATAGAATCACGGAGGTTGACCTGTCTGTCTTGAGCTCGGAGCCCATTTCTCTTGACGACGACAACCAATCGACACATATGGCGCCCGAACGGGGACCCGAGTCTTCAGAAAATTCAAGTAAACAACATAGGGAGGGGGGGGGGGGGGGGGGCTCTGCTCACTTCGACCACGTCTCCATCGACCCCTGTCGCTTGACGGCCAAGGTTTCAAGGTAGCTCCAAGATGGCGGAACGCTCCATCGAAGCTTTCCGAAAGCTGTATGACGACGCCAAGGACGCCGCATATTAATCATTCGTCAGCGACACAGAGATCCTGAAAGATGAGGCGAAGCAGCTACGCTCACAGCTAGCAGAGCTCAAGAACGCGACCTCTGCGCAACCGATCGACCGGCAGGAGGACATATCGCGCCCTTTTGACGACGCCACCAAGAGACAGCTGCAGGCAATACAGAATTTAATCTGCGAACGGTTGGCACCTGTCGTGGGTCGTCTTGATCAGCTGGAGGCAAATATCGGGAGGACATCATCGGCTGAATTGCTGTGCAGCGTGATCTCTATTCAGAAAGTTTCCGAGAACAAAACCGTCAAAAAAAAGAGGCTCAACGCACCCAAGAAGAAAGCTTCTGTTCAAGCTGAGTCAGCCACAGACATTGCAGTCGCATCCGATCGGCCGACAAGGTTGTAGGCCAAAGTGGCTGTCAGCTGGGTTCCTCAGTTAGGCAAGGACATCACCGCCTGGTTTCACCAGAGTAATTTCTGGTTCCAGACGTTCAAAGTCGCACCAAGTGAGGCCATCTCATTGATTGTATTTAAGTTACCATCTAAGGACCTCATGTGGGTGAGGTACACACGCAGGCGATATGAAGAAAACCCGTCATCTCGACCAGCGGCTCTACCCTCTGATGCTACTGTCGGAGTCACTATGGGGGTCAGAAGTGTCGAAGACATCAAGCCTAGCGACGACGAAACTGCGTTCATTTTAAGTTGCCCAAGCCTGCCTTCGCCGGAGGACTTGGATTGTCCCTAATGCTTTGGAAATCGCCAGCCCTAAACATCAACCGTTATCGGTTGAGGGTGTCGCGTTCAACATTGGTTCAACGCTGGCACCTGAAGAGCTTCAAAAAATTCAAGAGCTTTTTGCGAAAAACATGGCTTGCTTCGCGCGAACCAGCACTGACGTTGGAAACTGTCAGCTTGAGCAGCACTCCATTCCGACAGCCAATGCGAGACCTATCTCCCAGAGACTACGTCGACTGTCGTTGGCGCAGCGTGATCATGTCAAGGCGATGATCGACGATCTCAGTGACGCCAAGGTTGTGCAGCTATCGCGCAGTCTGTGGACATCCCCCTTGGTCTTAGTCACGAACGAGGAGAGATCAACACGAATTTGCGTTGGCTTCACAAAGATCAACGCGGTCACTGAAGTCACTGTGTACCCCTTTCCGCGAATTGAAGACGCCCTGCAGACACTGACGGGGAGCAAGTTTTTCTCTGTGATGTACCTAGTTTCTGGTTTTTACCGAATTGCCATGCGGCCAGAAGATGTCGAAAACGGCCTTTGTTTCTCTGTGGGGCCTGTATGAGTTCTTGAAGGTGCCGTTTGGACTCAAGGGTGCTCCGTTTAGCTGTGAGCGTGCGGTAGACAGTATCATCGATAATGCAAAGTCGATAACGCACTTGTCTGCAGGGACGATTCTGTTGTCTACAGGAAGACATAGGACGAGCATATGACGCACGTGCAGAACATTGTTTCGAGGTTCCACGAAGCGAACCTGAAGATAAAACCACAAAAGTGTTTTTTTGTCTTTTGCACGTCAGTCATGTACCTTGGAGACATTGACAAGAAGCATGGAGTTTCTCCAGGCCCGTCAAAATTGGCAGCTGTTCATAGGTTTCCGGCTCCCCGCAACATCCAGGAACTTCAATCCTTCATAGGCCTGACATCTTACTTCCGGAAGTTTATTCTAAATTATAGTGTTTTCGCTGCTCCTTTGCCTGAAATTCTCAAGAAAGAAACGAACTTCCTCTGAAATAAAGAACAATATACAGCGTTTGGCGCCCTCAAGGATGCCCTGCGTGAGCCACCGCTTCTTAAGCTTTTCTCGGAAGATGTACGCTTTGCCGTCCAAGTTCACACACACGCTTCCAAGCTTCGGCTGGAAGCATTGCTATTGCAAAAGGACGAAGACGGAAACTTCAGACCTGTAGCGTACTTGAGTTGCTTCCTCAAAGATTCCGAGTCCAACTACAGTTTGACAGAGATGGAAGCTCTTGCCGTCTAGTAGGCTTTAGATGAGCTTCGCCCTTTTCTCATAGGTCGTACGTTTTAAGTTGTTACCGACCACCATGCTCTTTGCTGGGTGACGCTGCGGTACAAGGAGGGGAACCAGCGCATACTGCGCTGGTTGCGCCTCTTGCAGGAGTTCGATTTCGAGGTCATCTACAAGTCAGGAGCTCTACACAGAGCGACGGATTGCCTTTCTCGGACTCCGCAGTCAACACGGGAGCTAGTTGACAAAGTTCTATGTGTCACATCTCCGGCCTTCCTGCAACGGGCTGAGGATCTTTCACGTGACCAACATGAGGATTCGTATTGCCAGGACATTTTCAATCTTCTGGACGGTAGTACCGGCGCACGTAGACAGCAGAGGCGAGCACAGAACAAGCCCGTCGTTTATGACGGAGTCCCTTACAGGAGAGATCAGGGCCCTGCCAATCAACGTTTTTTGTCTGCCTTTTAGACTCGAAGGGAGCCGAAGATTTTGCGCGAATTCCACGGAGGAAAGTACGGCGCATACAATAGCATCAGACGCACCTTTGGAGCTATTCGGACAGAATAAATTTGGCCGAACTTCTTCAGGGACGTAAGAACTTTGTCACGCATTGCGATTTCTGCCAACGTATAAAAATGTCTTCTGCGGCACCTCTTGGACTGCTACAACCGATTGAAGCCCACTACCCGTTTCACACGGAAGGGCTAGATATTGTTGGACCGTTTAGGACATCTCGAGGCTACAAATACACCATCGTTGCCATCGACTGCCTCACATGATATGTTGACGTTAAGCCTGTGCGGAACATTGAAGTGGTTACGGTACAGAAATTCATCGAGCGTCGAATCATTCTAAAGCACGGTTGCCCAGCAGTGATTAACACTGATTGCGGCACTTAGATGATGGCACGCTCGACTTCGGCGTACCTTCAACACCGTGGCATCCAGCACTCGCCTACGACAGCCTAACATTCTGCTGCGAACGGCCTCTTGGAACTGGCGAAAAAGACGGCCAAGCAGACGATCAATTTGAGTACAGCCGGAGGCGACAAGTGGGCTGACGTCCTTCCCTAAGTTGTCTTCTGCTATAATACCGGATTCCAGGACACCGTCCATCAGTCACATATTTTTCTTGTCTACGGCTGTGATCCTGTGCTCCCCCTTGGTATCGTTTATGGCCGCCAGGAGCTCGCTGAAGTACGTGATACATCGGACTATTTAGTCGTTGTTCAGGAGAAACTGAACTATGCTCGAAACTATCCGTTAAGCACATCAAATTCGCTAAAAAAAAAAAAAATTGCTACTTCGACAGGGGACGCAAGAACGTCACCTTCGAGAAGGGCCAGCTTGTGTTGTTAAAGACACCACCCGTGGGGCTCAAGGCAGCAATACGGTTCACTCGCCCCCACCGTATTGTGAGCCGGCTTTCTCCTGTGAACTACGAGATTGAGCTCATGGACGGTAATGGCCGCAAAGTAGTGCACGTGGAGAAACTGAAGCCGTATCTTACACCAATCGCTGATTTTTCAGTCTCTACCCGATGACTGAACTTTTGGAGTTTATAGTGTGTGCACTTGTTTATAGGGTGCCTTCTCATTCAGCACCTTGTATGCACATGTTTATTCACTCGCGTGCCTATCTCAGAGTGCGTTATTTGTTTTAATCTTGTTTTCTCTTTGTCTCATCAAAGCGCGCTGTGGGTAGACAGTTACTAAAACCCGGGCATGTGACGAGCCACAAAAGACGACTCGTGCGGCTCGGGCGAGCTGCGGTGCCGCGTGTGCGAGCGCGAGTAAAATAAATGAAATGAAAAAGAAAACAGGAAAATTCTGCATGGAATCACGGAGGTTGACGTGTCCTTTCTGAGTTCGGAGCCCATTTCTCTTGACGAGCACAACCAACCGTTGAAGGATGATTACGATCGCCCTCTTGATTGACTCATTTAGATAAATAAAACAATGTTGATTGGCGTTTCGAATGCATCGCGGTTCAGTGTACATGCGGAATCTTTCGAGGACGTATAATCACAGGACAGCCTAAACATCCCCGGGGCGCGTTCAGTCACGAGCACCCAATTATCGCTGTGCCGTCATTTCGAAGCGAGAGGCAAGGCGTGTGACCCATAATACTGCTCGCGTTTCATTAAGTTGTCTGTGACTCTGGAGTCACCGAGAGTTTAAGAAACGCGAGATTTTCTCATTATGTTCGTGCTTCTTGCGTCGTGAACTGTTCTTCGGAATCCTTATAAATGAATCCCACAGTTCTCATTGGTTGGGAAGCAATGATAACGTGCCTAGGTTTACATTGCTGTCAGTGTCAAAAGTGGATGTACAGTTTGTGTTACCATGCACACGAAACAACACTGTTTTTCAAGTAACCCGCGTTCCTACACGCATGCTTGCAGATGACCTGGCTCTCTCCAACAAAGACCTACCTACTCGGCCAAGCTGGGGCGCTGCTATTTTGCCTGTGTTTCGGGTATTTTAACGCATTTTCGTTTTCAAGAGCACGAAACGTAAATCTATGTCTAAAGCAAACACTTCTTCAACTGTTTTTTTTTTAAATAATAATTTAGACGATTACCGATACATCTTCCTCTGCGTGGTAATTCAATTTTATGAGTTGTTTTCCGTGATGAAACGTTAACTGTTTTACAGTTATGATAACTTTCAGACCCGAGTTAAGTTATACTTTAAGGGCGATCTCGAAGGTAGGTAATTATCAGGTCATCATTTTTAACGCAATATCGTTAAGGAAGGAGCTCGTGTTACAGAAAGGCCGGTGTCGGTGGCTTGACGCTAAAATCCTTATTGGTCGATAGGTTAATTATGTCAGAGCCGCATGACCTCGAGCGGAACTTTCAAGCAACCCACAAGAATCACGTGAAACGTGACGTTACGCGTGCAATGAAAGTGTTTAAAACATGACATATGATGCAAATATAAAAGTCGCTGCATGTCTCAAATGTTTTCACTTTATGACAACATTCACCTGCCATAAAGAAAAAAAAAATTGAAGAATTTAAGACGGGATTCGGACCCACAGCCCTTGGGTTGCAAGCGAGACACGCTACTGACTATTCCAGGCAAGGTACGCTCTTAAAGCAAATGTCAAGGCGATGCGAACGGGTTCGATAAAGCTATAACGTTCCACTCTTAAAGGTGAAGCTTAAGCGTTTTCTAAATTGTTTGCAACTCTTTATCTGAAAGATTAATGACAATTTGTTTCTGTGTGCGCAGGTCGCTGTATTGGGCTCCGAGTGCCAATAGCCTGCTGTGGCTATCGCTCTTTACATTTATATTAGGAGGGATTTTTCTCATGATTCTAATTGTTACCATGTATGCCGCCGCAAACAGCGTCTGCTCTAGCAACCCTGGTGTCTTAGCTGTGAGTTATTGAAGAACATTTCTCCTCTACTAGGCATTTTCGGTTGACAAACCTCGTTTGTCGTGCGGTATAGAAACGGTTTTTCTATCAATAGCGAAACTGTCCGAAAAGTTACCAAGCTGTGAGGTATTGACCAACATTCCTCATCTGTTATGCATTTTCGGTTGACAAACCTCGTTTGGTGCACGGTATAAAAACGGCTTCTTATTAATAGCGAAAATGTCTGAAAAGTTAACGTACCTATCGTGGAACCACCAACTGCACTGAAAATGACGGGAATAAAAAATAGCTTCTATTTGACCTATTATCCTATCATGTTTTCTCGAAGCGAATTGGTTATTTTTAATATTAGTTGATTGGGATGCTTATAATTGGATCCATGATCACAATAACAAAAAGACGTTGCTTTCAGAAAGGCATTTCACCTGACACGGAAAGAATTTTCTGCTGTTTCAGCAGTGATTTCTTGCGTCTTTTACTTCTAGAAATAAGAAAACCTAGATAAAAAAATGAAAGACGTTAGGACACTCTGTAACGCCGAAGTAGAGCGCAGCTCTTGAGAAGGAGGACGGGAGGGGTACTGAGGGGAGGGTATACCCCTTCTCCTCCCTTCTCTTCCTCCTCCTCGTCCTCCTCTTCCCCTCCTCTTCGTCCTCCTTCAACTCCTCCTCGCCTAATCCATCAGGCTCCTCCCCTCTTTCCTTCTCATCTCGCCCAGCCCTCTTTTCGTCAAGGGCGCCTCCTGATTTGCCTGCAATACTTCCGAATGAATGACCATATTCTGTATATATACGGCTCTGGGTTGGCCTACAGCTAGCTGCCTTTATCTCCACTGAAATTCTCGAACGTGTTAAAACGCGGAATGGCGGCGTTCCGCGTTTGGTTGTCACATTTGAACGCGTTCGACGGGTGCAGTGGAGACAAAGGCAGCTAGCTTTAGGTCTACCCACTAATCATTCGAACCAGAGCTCGGCGTTCTGACGTCCCCTCGCGCTCTCGCCTCCTTGTCTCCCTCAGTTTCTCGGTGCCTTATTTTCATTATTTCAAGCCATACAGTGAAGGTGCAGTTAATAGATTATGATTCAATTCCCACAGTTAGTTGAAATAAGCTTGTAAATGGGTCTTCGTATGTGGACTTAGAGGCTACTGGAGGACCTCGCAGCACCCATACTTTTAACTGAACTTTTTTTCCGTGCGTGCTCGAGAACAGAACAAATTTGTTTTCATCACACTTCTTTTTAATTTTAGGAGATAAATAGGAAAAAACATCGACGATCGCCTATTGGCTCTAATTCTCACGTTAAGTATATTGAGCGACACTGCTACTGCAAACAAGCAATCTCCGTTTATTTATGGTTGGTATTTTTCAAATGAAAGAGACCATGTGGATACATCTTGTGTGTTAAAATGGGAATATTTGGGTCAATAACTTAAGTGGTATAATTTGACGTCTGTCAAAACGCTTCAAAAGTAAAATGGCAATGTGTGCCAGTGTTCCGTTCGCGCTACCAATGATGCGCAGTACGTCATGCCCCGCAATGAACTCGAACAAATGAAGTCAGTGGACGGCATCGTGTACTAGTGGTGCAAAACTATCGATAGTACTATCGATAGTATCGATAGTCGCGAGAAATCTGAATATCGATAGCAAAGAAAGAACTCTCGATAGTACTATCGATAGTCGAGTATCAAAAGCTATCGATAGTACCATCGATAGCCGAATATCGAAAAACTATCGGTAGTCGACTATCGTAAACCTATTGATGGTACTGTCGACGATATACTATCGATGGTTTTGCGACACTAGTAGTTTGCGTCGCTCCCTCTTCTCTTTTTATCGCTTAATTTTTTCAAATGGGACACCAACTAGCCCAGGCACTTGCCATCCCAACTTTGGTTCAGCTTTCTGTGATGACGAAGACGGGAGTTTGGGCGAGGACAGGAGAAAGGGAGGCGAGCGGCGGTGCGGCAACTGTGTTCGCTCTATAGTCCGTTGCAACTCAAGAAGGTGGGGCGAGGGTAAGACAGGCCGGGGAGAAGGAAGCAGACAAAACGCTGGAGAAGAGATAGGGAAACCTCCTTCTCTCTTTAGCGTTCCGTCTGCTTCCTACTCCCCGGCCCGTCTTACCCTCGCCCTACCTTCTTGAGCTGTAACGGACGCAGTGGTGCAAAACTATCGTTAGCCGCCAGAAATCTGACTATCGATAGTAAAAAACAACTATCGATAGTCGACTATCGACAAGCTATCGATAGTCGACTATCGATAGTTCTGAGACACCGTCGATTGTTTTGGAAAAACATTCGATAGTATCGATAGTCAATGTATCGGTAGTTCTGCATCACTAACGTGCATCCCGAGATTATGCAGCCTCAACGACCACAAACGTGCCTTCCCAAATGGTCACTCTGATTAGGTAATAGAAAAGATGTCAACCCGTTCGGCCACCAAAGTTGCGAGAATGTTGGCGCACGACAACGATCGTCCGTCTCATTGATCGAGCTGATCAAGAAAACACTGACGCCTGGTGTTCCGAGTATATTTCGGGGCGGTTGAAACTCGAAAACTTATTAAAGCTTAGTTGTATACAATTTACGTCTTCGAGCGCAAGTGTTTAATACAATTTCGACGCTTTTTCAGGGAACGATGGAGGCAATTTATGGAATAGGAAATATGATTGGATCAGTCACCGGAGGAGCTCTGATTGACGTGAGTAGATAAGCTATAATGTGAAAATCATTATAGATTATATTGTGCAACCTTTATAAACTCAATGGCTGCTTCGCAAACGCAAGGAATGAATTACCATGGTCACGTTTCTTACTTTGGAATATTTTTAGTGTTCTTATTTACTAATTTTACAATCTCATTGATATAAAGGTGACGACACGATGCTCGGAATGTGCCTTGCCCTGCGCTTCTGTAGTTAACTAAAGTGGCCGACGCCTTAAAAAAGACAGAACGTGGCGATACCCAATCATTTTATTATCTGTAGCTAACCAACTAAATTGTGACATTCACTAAAAAAATGAAAGCCGTTTACAACTCCCTGTAAGGCCGAATTAGAGCGCAGCTCTTGAGGAGGAGTAGGGAAGGGTACTGAGGGGAGGGTATATCCCTCCTCCCTCCTCCTCACGTCCTCATCCTGTCTGCTACTCCTCCCTCCGAGCGGCATCGCCGTCGCCACACGAGGGGCACGTGACCTCACGGGGGTCACGTGACCCCTATGAGGTCACATGACGTCACTGTTGACGTCATCAGTAACGTCATCAGTGACGATGACGATGCGAATGCCGATGACGTCATCAGTGACGATGCCGATGGCGATGCCGTCATCAGTGATGTCACTGATGACGTCATTAGTGGCGATGACGATGACGATGCGGATTCCGATGACGTCACTGATGACGTCATCAGTGACGATGCCAATGACGTCACTGATGACATCATCAGTGACGTCACGCGTCTCATAATGCACCGCGCGGTTACGCCGACGGCGACGGCGACACCGACGCCATTCAAGCCGGAAACGGGCGCCTAAGAGCTGTGCTCTAAAAAAACGAAAAAGATAGAAAAGATAACTCCGAAGCGAAAAACGGTAAAACATGAAGCCATGCCCGCGTGTTTTAAGCTCTCAGTGTCATTCAAGACAGAACAGTCAGTGTGAATTAAGCAGTGTGGATCGCGAGTTCGTCTGCTTCTTTTGCAAGAGGTTGCAGTGCCAACGAACCGTGGGGCTCTGATTGGCTCATATGCAAGAATACTCGGTAGACCTCACTGCTACCTTCCTTAATGCTGCTTGCATTAAAGGACACATGCAAAGGAAAAAAAAAATTTTTAGACAGCTTAGATGGAACAAAGCATGTCATAAAACGGTTTTACAACGAAGAAACAAAATTTTTAGAGCTATATTTACGGCGCTATACGAATTTGTAGTCGGCGCTCGCGGGAGCCGCCGCTGGTCACGTGGTAGGCCCGCGCGCCGCCGCGCTGCGTCGCCGCCGCACGCTGAGCGTTGTGCGAACGCCGCTTCAACGCGTTTCTCCACGCCGCCGTCGCCGCCGCCGCACAAGTTCGTCTGCTTTGGGGCGCCGCCGCGTCGTCTGACCGGCGCACAGGTCTATCACGTCTGCTTGCGCTTTTTCAGGAGTTTCCTTTGGGCTCTAAAAGTTACTTATTCGTCTTGGTTTTTTGTTATACTTCAAACAAAGATGAATAAGTTACTTTTAGAGGCCATAGGAAGCTTCCGAAAGAGCGCAAGCACCACGTGATAAATAAAGACCAGTCACGTGATAAATACAGACCACTTTTCCGCGGTGCCCGCGGGCGCCAACTACAAATTCGTTTTGCGCCGTAAATATAGCTCTAAAAATTTTTTTTCTTCGTTGTAAAATCGTTTTATGGCGTCCTTTTTCCATCTAAGCCGTTTAAAAAAAATGTTTTTTTCCTTTGCATGTGTCCTTTAAGGCAGGCAGCATTAAGAGGTTGCAGTCACATCATACCTTAGGGCTTGGATTGGCTTTTATGCAAAAATAGTCGGCAGACCTCAATGCTACATCAATGTACCTGCCCTACATTTTTAAAACTCACTACACTTTCTAGCGCTATTCAGTACAACGAAATCCATAGCAACTTCGTATTTTTTAAAGTAATTCGATACCTCATATCGTATATATTTTCAAGTATACCAGTGAGATCACAGATATTTGTCATGTGATTGTAGAACCGATTGTTGTAATTTACTCAGTGATTGGCTAACTGGAGATCTACGAAAAGAACGAGACCCACGGAAATTTGTTGAAGTGAACCTGTAACCTGCAATTGGTCGGCCGTTTGTTTCACTTTGGCAGTCGCCACCATTAAACAAACCAAATGTTCGTCGGATGTGGATACTTCGCAGGAACACGACCATGAACAAGCAAAATATAGACTGGTGTAACATAAAAAGTGAAAGCTGCTTACAACTCCCTGTAACGCCGAATTAGAGCGCAGCTCTTGAGGAGGAGGAGAGAAGGGCACTGGGGGGGGGTTAAACTAACCAGGGGGGGTCACGTGACCTTGGGGGGTCACGTAACCTTGGGGGTCACGTGACCCCCAATGCCGATGATGTCATCACTGACGTCACTGATGACGTCATCAGTGCCGATGACGATGCGGGTACCGATGACGTCATTAGTGACGTCACTGATGACTTCACCAGTGATGATGACGATGACGATGCGAATGTCGGTGACGTCATCAGTGACGTCGCTGATGACGTCATCAGTGATGATTACGATGACGATGCGGATGTCGGTAACGTCATCAGTGATGATGACGATGACGATGCGGATGCCGGTGACGTCATCAGTGATGATGACGATGACGATGCGGATGCCGGTGACGTCATCAGTGACGATGACGATGACGATGTGGATGCCGGTGACGACATCAGTGACGTCACTGATGACGTCATCAGTGATGATGACGATGCGGATGCCGGTGACGTCATCAGTGATGATGACGTCATCAGTGATGATGACGATGACGATGTGGATGCCGGTGACGTCATCAGGGACGATGACGTCATTGGGGGTCACGCGACATCGGCGGGGTCACGTGACCTCAGGGGAGTCACGTGACTTCGGGGGGTCGCGTGACCTCGGAGGGGGGGTCACGTGCCCCCACGAGGTCACGTGACCCCGGTGGGGGCTCGCGCGGTGCATTATGGGACATTTCCCATGATGCACCGGGGTCACGTGACCTCGGGGGGGTCACGTGCCCCCACGAGGTCACGTGACCCCGGTGGGGGGCTCGCGCGGTGCATTATGGGACATTTCCCATGATGCACCGCGCGGTTACGCCGACGCCGACGCCGACGCCGACGCCGCTCAAGCCGGAAACGGGCCCCTAAGAGCTGCGCTCTAAAAATACATCGAGCAAATATTGCCGCGCGCGCAGCTGGCCAAGTAGGCAGCGTTAGCGTGGACAAACTATTATCGAGCCTGCCTCCCACGCGAAAAGCCAAGGTTCGATTCCTGGAAGCGACGTGTATTTTGTTCATTCTTGCAATTTCATGTTTTGAAAAATTCGCGAATCCTGTTGCTTGTTCGAGATCCGAATGTTCTACGCGTCGAACTTTCTACACCGATTATTCCAGAAGCCCACGCGTGTACGAAAGGGGTTTCGCGTGGTGAGCCAAAGTCAGTCTCGCCCAAGCTGTAAGATAGACAGGTGGGGAAACGGCCCATAGAAGCCTACCTCAGTGCCGTGATCGGATTGTGTATTCGCCTTCTTGCGGGTACCCCCGATTTGCGGCAGATGGCGCTGCGGCGAGAGGAAAAAAAATCGGAATCGGATTTTCGTGCGAGCACGGCAGTCCTCCATTGAAAATTCACGAGAAACCATCTCCGTCAGTTTAGCCGGTCGCCACCGGTGGCTCAGCCGGTCGCCACCGGTCGCCCACCCGGAGTGAGAGTTCGCGGTGCTCCACATAGATGGCGCCACAGCAAAAGAGAAAACCGAGAGGGACACAATCCGGTCGCTCATTTGGCTCTCGTTTCCCCACCTGTCTATCCTACACCCTGGTCTCGCCCCATTAAACGTTTAGTTTACTTCAGTTTTCGTCGCCTCATCACTTGTCATTCGTGACAATATGAGCAAGATATTTTGCAGTTAAAGAAATCATCTGGGAAGCTACTTAATGTCATAATTGAGTAACACGGACAGGCGGTGTACACCGTAGCGATAAACTCGCAGCCTCCCGCATTCTTTTTCACCAATTGGCTTGTCGGTTTCTGCAGGTAGTTATTTGTCTAAAGAGAGGAGGCCATTCTGCCATATAAGTGTCGCAATCTATGCGGAACGCCAGTTCGTCTGCTTCTCCCTCAGGGGTTGCGGAGACGTCAGAACCACGCCGAGCTGTGATCGGCTCTGATTGGAAGGATAATGGGCAGACCTTAGCGCTAGCTGCCCTGAGGTTCTACCCACTATCCTTCCAGTCAAAGCCAATCGGAGCTTGGCGTTGTGACGTCACCGCAACCCCTGTGCGAGAAGTTCACAAACTTGCGCACCGCATAGTCACGGAAGGCATAGGAAACGCACAGCGTGTCCCGCTATGTTCGAGATTTTGCTCTCGTGATTTTTTCGGGATTTCTATGGGCAAATGCTAAAATATCTTTGGCTGCGAAGCAATAACAAGATGCTCGAGGCACACCATAGACTGAGTTTCCTTAAGCAATCAGCGACTTCACTCTGAAACATCGAATACATCTACTTTCCCGCCAGAGCGGCTGTTAGAACCAATTGCCCCAGAAAGGGGCTTGGCAAATGACGAGGTTGAAGATATATTAGGTCTCCCAAGCGGACCTTCCGACGTGAAACGTGCCGGAAAAATCGGAGCATGCCCATAGAAAGCTTAAGCTTTTACCGTACGTGCACTGATCAGGTCAGTTTTGACGTGTGAAATTTGAGGCCGTAGTTCTTAGCGATGCTATTCACTTGTGGTGCCATCTTCCGTTAGGCACAGCGAGTTAACAACAGAGTGTGACGTCTGCTCGCTGCACCTATCGGGAGATTGCGCCACAAATGAATAGCGTCGCTAACTCGGTCGTCTGCAAACGCGCTCAACCTTAACTTTAGCAATATTTTATACTTTATATTTTTTACGACAAGATATCTACGCTTTGAAATTTCACACGGTAAAAGCGATGTGCGCTGCGCACATACGGGGAAAATGTGAGCCTTCCATGTGCAGGCGCCGATTTTTAAGGCTCGCTTAACAGCGGAAGGTTCGCTTGGGACATCTTATATTTAGTTCTAAAACCAGAAGTCTGCACTCCGACGCTTAGCACTTCCTTCGTAGAGAGCTCCGATTGGCTCTCTCAACTGCTTTGAGGGGAAGTAGATGCGCTGGATGTTTTAGAGTACGACATTGTTTCTAAGGAGTATACATCGTGTAAGTCCGAGTGTCCAACATTTTACACCGGCCGGCATTGCACCTTTCTTTCTTATGAAATGACATTCACAATTATGATCATGTTTTTGCCCCGCAGCTTTGGGCCTTTCCACTGCCGTTTTTTGTGGTGGGTGTGGTTCAAGCTCTGTCTTCACCATTTGTTGCAATCTATGGAATAATTCCCAAAGAACGGCCGCAAGGTAAACATTATAAAAGCGCGATTAAACAAAACAATATTTCCATTGCAATTGCCTTGCGTCTATCGCAACTAAATTTGGGCCAAGCAATATTCCTTTGTGGTAGTGGCTTTGAGACTTAGGATTTTTTAGGATTTTTAGGATTTTTAGGATTTTTGGGATTAGGACATTTAGGATAAAACCAGGGAGATAGAAAGGTCCTTGCGACATGCGGTGCCGCCTCTCAACAGAAGTAAAGCCGACAGTCAATCCAACTCGGGCTACCGCTTCTAAGTCAAGTACTCAAAGTTCCAATAAGTAAAATTAGAGCAATTCCTTCAAGCTTCACGCAGTAAAACTTAACTTTAAGATACACTTTAAATAACAAATATCTACGTACCACGGGAATGCGCTCAGGTTACAGTTTATACAAAACCCCAAGACTGGTGTAAAAATTAGTGTGTAAAAATTACGCGACATTGTTTCTACAGAGTACACATCATATGAGTGCTAGTGTCCAAAAATTTCACACCGGCCGGCATTGCACCTTTCTGTATTCTAAAGTGACATTCACCCTCGTTTCATTTTAAATGTGATTGATCTCTAAGCCACACTAGAACAAAGCAATATTGCTTTCTACTTCAATGCCAGTCCTTGACCCAAATTTGGTTTCGTCTAAAAGGCCAAACATTCACCAGCTTGTTTGCGCCCTAACTTTTTGTCACGTTACTGTTGTTTGATGTTCACGCCAGCCTCTATACATGATATATCTTTTTTAGAATGACAAGATTTATTAAGCATGGGGACTTGGATTATTATTTGTTTAGCTCTAGGGCCACTAGAAAAATGTCAAACTTGATTAAGTGCCATCCTGAGCCCCTTTTGTTCGCTTAGGTTGGATTTGAAGCCGTGTGCAAGTGTGACATTTTCCGCTCTGTTGCGGCCACTACGAATTGTTTAAACAAACATTTTCTCTAACCACTACACCATAATGAGTTCGATCGTATATTTTTCAATTATATTCTGCCTCAAAAGATAAAGATTTCAAAAAGTCGGGAGCTCGTTTAGCCAATTAGGCAACTAAAATCATTTTTAGGCCTAGTTCCAGTAGCCCCGATTGCTTCCAGCTAAGCACCTATGGTGAAATGACCCCACGCATTTTCAAGTCCTCGAAGAAGAAACAAAAAGAACACTTGGCATACACAAGGTCTCCTAATTCACGAGCACAAAGTTTGTTTTTTTAATGAGCATTTTTCGCTTAAATGATGCCAACTATATGTGACCATATGGCTTTGGGAAGATGCCTGCGAACTACGTGCCGCTGGTTTCATTCGCGTTGATCGCACCCTGATTATTCTAAAACTTAGTTCATGAAATTGAGGCACTATGCACACTATTGTAGTATAATGATGACGTGCAAGTTCCACATGCGTGATCGGGGGCCTCCTGTAGTAAGACGACGTGTGTAAGATCCCACACGAGAAAGCTCACATTCTGTGCATTATCGTAGACTGAGATTTTTTTTTTCAACGTTAAATTCTTGGTAAATAAGAAGGACTCGGCAGATCTAATTAATTCGCAAACTCTTTCCTCCCAATGCGGGAAATAGTATGAACAACATTCAACTTATGCCGCAGGTAAATTCAGAGGAGAAATCTTTATTTTTTATATTTTACTTCAGACATGTTAGTTGGCGCAGTTAGCTGTAGCTCCAGGATTGAAAAAAAACAAACAATAACGATGTGTGAAATATTTGGATACGTCTTGCTCGGCCATTTTGGATTAATATTAGCCTGATGCCACAACAACTGCATTGCACGCCAATTTCTAAATGCATACGAGCTTAGGGAGCTGACAGTATTCGTCTAGATTCGGGGTTTCCAAACCCCTGCCCGCGGGCCAAATCTTGACCGCTGAGGTCTTCCAACCGCCCGTGGCTGACGCGGTCCTTCCCATGAACCTGGCCTGCGGCCCGCTTCCATCTAGAGGGCTGGCTGCTAACGGCGCAAAAATAAACGCACGCATAGAAACGGTGCAACGAGTGTTCCTCTCGCCATATTATTCATTTGACATTTATGACCAGCATCACCATTCTGAGTCCCCTTTTTCGTATCTGAGTAACTATGTTTCTTAAAATTCCTTTATGCTCCCTAGTTAAGTTGGGTTTAGGGTGCTGTGTTGTATCTATTCCATATTGTCGACATCCGTTGTCTCCTTCTAATTTATGCTCTGCCATGTGTAAATACGCCAAAGTTCCTATGTGCTTTGACTTATGCCCATGCATTTTCTGAGTCTCAAGTATTGTGTAATGTCATATTTAGCTAAATATAAAGTTTTAAAATGAAGTATAGGTATTTATTCCCCTTAAATATTTTTTTCACTTTTGCTCTATCATGTAATACTGCAATGAAATATTTATCTAGAATTACTTAATAAGTTTTTCAAATTTATATTTACTTACTTATTTTCCCACCCTCGAGATGGCGCAGGTCTCCGATCCGACCATTTAGCCAAAACGTTTGCAGTGCCCTGGTCTTGACGGATGAGCTTCCAGCATGGTTTTTCCATTTAATTTCTAAATAAGAACTAAAACTTACAGACGACTCTGTGTGTTTTCAGATAGTGCACCGAAAGCCCGGATTATGCAAAAAATCGAAGGCGCAAAATTCTGGTTCTTGCTCACTGACCCCGAGTTTTTGGTTTGCGCCATAAGTTTTGCCTTTAACTGGATTCTTATGGGATTCAACCAAACTACCCTGGAACCACATCTTTCGCAGGTAAGTTATTGATAAGAGATGTGGTAATAAATAATTTTAACCGTTTACTGTATGCGCTTAGATTTTAAACGAGCCATCGGTGTTTTTCAAATTGCGTTTCGTAAAATTGCAGAAATTTTACGCATTATTATGTAAAAAATATGCATTTTTATGTAAAAAATTATGCATTTTTTAATGTGTATGAACAAGATTGTGGTAGACTTTTGTTATATTACGCAGACACTTGACAATCCAAATTGTTAAAGTGATTAAATTACAGTCAAATATACACTAGATTTACTAGATTAAATACATTATATCGATTAACTCCATTATATCAAGAGGTGACATATTACATGTGTCACATCTCTATAATAGGGCCGAATCTACCAATCCTTCAGGTGCGGAGGAAGTAGAAGCGGCTTAATATTTTTTATAACATAATAAATAACCTGGTTTTTGTAAATAAGCAACAGTATATCAATGGGAGCACGTCGCGTATAACCGCAACAAGCATGCATGTTCGGTATGCGGAAGAGCGAAAGATTTCCAAGGTCTGTCTTAGGTACTCGTTCTTATTGCAAACAGTGCGAGAATGGAACCATCTCCAAGCATATGTCGTGACCGCTGGAACTCGTGAAGAGCTTAGTTCCCTTATTTCAGAGATATCTGCCAGAAGTACCTAGAGTTGTCATTTCATCGTTGTGTTGTATGTGTTATTGACCTGTGCATTTTAAGCGCGTGTTTTTGTGTTAGATAAATCCACTCCTTTCTTGGTCCTGTGTAGAACCGATAGTATTTCAAATAAATAAACAAAACTATTCAGTGACAGCTTAAAAAGGAAGGGTGGGACGAGCGTCGAGCGCCCCATTATTTTCCTGCAGCCAAAGTGATGGCATCATTAGCTGACGAGAACGCATGATAACAAATCATCAAGAAAAGAATAAGTGGGCCCCCAGTAATTCACTCGTTGGATGGCACGAAAAAAAACTCAACTTTGGATGACGCTATTTCGCGGTTACTGGTGAGCTGCAAGCAGCTGTAGGAGCGTGCGAGTGACACACTCCACAAAAGTGGTCCCAGCAATTCATGGATACGCTACCACAAAGGATGTGCAAGGATATTTGGCCTTATTGGGTTGCAGTAGAAAAGGTGGACACACGCACATACCTCTAAATACCCGTTATTTGCCGCAAAAAAGACCCCGTTTAAATTGTAAATCATTCTGGTACGCCGTTCGTATATTCTTATTGTGTAACAATATACAGTGATAAGAAAAAAAAGCATAAATAAATTTCTTAAAATGTTAAATGTTTTTTTATTATTATGACGGAGTAAGGTTTCAAAAGGGCGTGTCCCCAAACTTTATCTGCATAACATTCAACATTCAGGAATTAACTTTTTTTTTGTCAACGCAGCGGTTCTGAGAGGAAGCAAATGTACTAAACTTTCAGTTTATTTGCTTTGTTAAGCGAAAAGAGCAATTTTTACCCACGATTTTACAAAAATTAAAAAAGAATATGTTTGGATGTGGTTTCGAGTTACAGATTTAATCTATGACTCTCGTTCAATTTGCTCAGACCAAACACCTTATACTTCGTTTCACCCTAAGTCGTTGCGTAGCCCGCGCAAGGCCCCGTTCGTTATCCTTTTTCGCTTTTGATATCATCGACCAGGCTAATCAACCGAATTTCTCGCGCTTTTAATATGTCGATTCGTGTTCGTGTATGTTCTAGTCTAGCCCTTGACTGCGCACCGACGTATTACGAAACGATGTATGGTGCTACGAAAGTAGGACACCCTACTCCATTGCACGTCTCGTATTTTTTATAAATGCCATTTCAAGGTGTTAAAAGGATTCATTTTATATACTCTCCCATGGTACACTCAGAACACCAGTAATCTTTTTTGGTATAATTATTCTTGTCAAAGATAACGGCGAAGCGTTATTATGTTTTAATGCTCAAACGGTTTTAGAGGTAAAAATTCAGGACGGCTTTCTGACACTGGGAGGGCACAGCCATTGGAGGGCGACAACCCTCAATTTTTCATTAAATAAACTAGTTAAGAGATGCCCAACGATGTGCTTTCTCAGTGCATTTAGGAAACGCATACAGGTGACCCACGATAACGTAACCCTAAACTAAAAATCTAATAGAGGTTTTAGGTTTTTTTTAGTAGTCGTAGATAATCAAGTTGAGATATCTGTCGCTCATATGGGTAAACGGCATTGAGATATATTAATGATCTGCCTAAAGTTTCAGTTAAGCAGCACTCATCTTGGTGAAATCTACATGGTGCAATCTGCAGGTTACGTCATTGCGTCTGTGCTTTCTGCTATTTTCTGCAACATGCAGGTAAGTGCCCTCTTCTGTACATTTTTATAAAGTTATGTGTGTATTATGGCCTTCAACATATTTCAATGTTAACCCTACAAAAAATTTAGCGGCTTATGCCATGGTAAAATATTAGTGGTTTCCCTTACTATAATATTTTAAGCACAAAATAAATGTTGCTTCCTTCTGATAGTGTGAAAATCGAGGATGGTATACCGAACAAGGAGTGTTGTTTACCACTTGCCAAGAATTGTAACTGAAACGCCATCAATCATGTTTTGGAGGCTTTCAGCCTCGTTAAGCTTAGTCCTATAGGTGATGGTATATCTAAGGCGAGGTGAGAGCATTTTTAAGGCGCGACAATGTTCAAGTTACCTTTGACGTCGCGCAGATTGGTACGGTTTTTTTTTAATGTTTGGTTAGGTGGCATGGTGATTTCATATCCGAATGAGCTAACTCGAAGGGCAATCTTTTCCTTATGTTTCTCACAGAAGGAACGATCATTTTTGTTCGTTTGCCACGTCATGGCGGTGGTTGCATACTTGATTGTTGGGCCCATTCCGTATATTCCAATTTCACCGTAAGTTACCGTCTTTCCTAAAACTAATAAAATATTTTTTCCACAAACAGAAATCGCAAACGCCTGATTTTAGAGTTTTACGCCAAAATGGAAAAATGAGTTTTCACATGTCGCAATAACTATCTGTAAAGTACGCAAAGATTTAGGGCTGCGCTGAAAGAAAATTAATTTTTATTGAAACAAATAGATCTTAGATTTGTGGATGATGCTGCTTGTCAAAATTAAGCTCTTAAACAATGTTTTATTAATAAAATTATATTCGCAAAAATCAGTGTGCCAACTTTTTAAAAATATTTGTATGTCATAATGCAATATTTGTGAGAGGAGATCATGATAAAAAATATCTCAAAAAAAGAAAGGTTTAATATTCAGATGCTAGATGCTATGCCGGTTACCCGATGACGAAGTATGCATAACGCTCAAAATACCAATAGTTTGACTGGTCGTCTTCGTGCACATCTGCCACTCCTTGTTCCGATATCAAGCAATAAGTTGCGTCGCAAACAAACTAAAAAAAAAAAAGAGAAAACAAAGAATATCATCTTTGTAGAAATGCTTTTTGTCTCTCAAAGGTCGCCAAACCTTCATGGCGCACTTTAGCTCAGAATTACCACTATTTTTGTGTGTTTAATCTAATGCAAAACACTCATGAAAAATAACGCTGAGTTCGTTTTTCCGTATTTATGCTGCACTTTATTCTCAGAAACTCTACGCCGGTATCGGAAAAAGAAAAGACGAAAGTCATATATGCCTGGAAGTATTTCGTACACACATTGCTTCGACGTTCATTTTTTTTCTTGTTAAAACTAAAAAAAAAGCTACGAAAACTACACTGATCTATGTATAAAATCGTTTGCAGAAATGCTCGACAAAATTAGTGAAGACTTGTCGCTCGAAGCGTCAGCGCTGTACAGAAGTATTTTTTGGAGTAAAATGATAACTCTCGCATTGTAGAAACATAAGAATTAAGTGACGACCAAGGATGACATATGGGGTCCAAAGCATGATACATGCGGGTTGTGTTCGTTAAATCATTTTAGGCGTGAACTAGTAAATAAATATTTTGCGGCTTGTTTGTTTTCTATTTTCATGTTTAATTTTTTTTTTTTTACCAAGGAATCTATGGATGGCAGGCTCGGCGCAATTGGGCATTGGAATCGCAACGTCTGCATACTTCGTTTGTTCCAGCTGTCTTCTAAATACTACGGCATTGTGAGTTAAAATATTCTTTCCCACGTTACACGAAAAAAGGGGGAGGGCGTAATTAACCCAATTTCCACAACGTTACACAGGGAAGAAAAGAGTGTGTGTGTGTGTGGGGCGGGAGGAGAGGGGGTGGTGGTAATTGACTGTATAATACGAGAGCGCACGACACTAGAGTGCCGACGGGAAAGCGCTCGAGATGATAGCGCCACGACAGCAAAGCGCGCGACTGTAGAACGCCACTACATGAGAGCGGGTGTCATTAGAGCGTACGTCACAAGAGGGCATGTGCGCGCCTTGGGAATGATCGATAATGGGGTCTTCAGACATATGTTCTTAAGGAGCTGAAAATATGACACCAAAGGAAGTCGTATTTTGAACGTTTGATGTCATTTGACCAGCATGAGTACGCAAATTAAGCTGGGCGAAGTGGCTCACGCGTGTTGAAAGTAGCGGTCTAAAGTCACACCATTTAAGATAAAAAAGCAAAAACAATTAGGTTATCTGTCCTAACTTTATACATTACCGCGCGGCTGTCATGGCTGCCGCTTAAAGAGTTTGTGAAATTGGTGACAATTTTCGATCTTGAGACAATTCTACTTGTCATTTTTGTTCCTCAGAAACAAAAGTTCGATTTGACATATCAAAATGGGTGAAACAAAAATCGGTTTGGAGATGAGCTTTTTTCCGGGAGTAAGCATTTTAGTTCTCTACTGAGAGTAACACTACAGGAGCCTACCGTGCATGCAGCTGTTATATTATTACCATGTTTTGATTCTGGCAAACCTGGGGATAACGTTGTATTGGAAACGCGCTAGAAATCAATCCGTTCGTTATTATGGAGATTGACGATATATAAAGCTGCACTCACATATTGTTCAGTGCAGGCTATTGCGTAGCAGTTAGTTCAATGTATAATCACCCAGTTACTACAGAAGGGGATTTGATACTTGAACGTTCTGCCACGATGAAAGGCACCTTAGTGAATGCAGATATTGTTCGTCACTCTCGTGATGCGCGCTCTCGTATCGTGGCGCTCTCCTGTCGCCAGCTCTCCTGTCGCGCGCTTTGCTATTGTGGCGCTCTCCTGTCGTGCGCTCTAAAGCCCTGGGAAAAGTGGCGTCAATCATTGTTGTGGAAATGCTCGAGACACGTGCCGCGCGCCACTTTTTGGACGAACATAGCGTGTGAAATCTAGCCCAGTGCTGCGCTGTGCCGCCGAAATCTTCCAAAGGGCTGCACGTTGCGCGTGTCTTGTGCATCGACGCTCCTTGCGCTACTTTTGAAGCATAAAGGGGCTTTAGTGCGCTTTCTTGTCGCGCGCTCTGCCGTCGGCGCTCTCGTGCCGTACGCCGTCGTGCGCCATACCCGGGGTAAGTAATTTAATTTAAGCGGCGACTTTCTGAAACAGATCAGGTTTTCGCTTTCTATGTTTTCTTTTAATTTTAATTCAGAGCGTTTCTGAAACGAAATTCTAGCACCCAGTTTACTGCCCAAAGTTTAACCCTATGTTGGGGTAACACCACAAAGACAACGATGTTTATTTGAAAAGACACCAGAACGTTGTTTTAAGAACATATTACCAAATTGCATCTGGTGCATGTTTCCTAAGCTACTGGGAATGTCGTTGCGTCGATCGTCCTAAAAAAGCAGCGTCGCTCCGCGTAAGTACGGCGCCAAGCTCCGAGCGTGCTCAGCCCGTCAAACTTTCAAAGCGGATTTTCCTTCTCTCCCTCGCGTACTTCTGCCACTGGGAAAATTTAAAAGAAAAAAGACAGGGGGTTTGAGACCGAGAGGAAAAGGCCAGTCTAGTCTTGAAACGTAGGTGGCTCGGTACTCGTTTTGTCCAATCTAGTCATCCTAGGGCAAGTGTTTAGGCTGTGATGCGTCAGTGCCACCAAGTGACGGAGCTATACCAACGCCAGCCTCGCCATAGCCTTGCATGTAGAAAAAAAAAAAGTTACGTCACGAGTGCCTCGTAGGCACCGGATCTCCCGAGACGCATCACGTCCTCTGACGGAGGCTCTTCGAGTGCTTACCAAAAGGGGCAGTTAGAAGAAAAAAGTACTGTCATCCGTTCAAACTGCATGTGTGGGATTGTCATTAGCAGATGTTGTTGATATTGTGAAACTTATTTCTGGACATGGAAGGTATATTTGAATTTCTATTTGAGTATTCTTTTATCTAACGAGTTTACGACACTGCATGTTCCAAGGAACATGTTCAAGGTGACCACCTTAAGGATGTTGTTGTTCATATTGCATTTTGTCAGCAACGTGCTTGCAAATTAGAAGGAGCCCTTGATTGTTTTGTAATAAGCTAAACCAAAGTAATGACTAGCAAAGTCTAAATGATGCAGTCTCGCCGGTAAAAAGTCGTTTGCTTCTTTTTACACTGAGACGGCCAGGATAATTAGATAATGAAACCGAGAGCTTAGGCAAAGCTGATTAAAGACCGACTAATACTTGCTACAGTGAGGGCATGTCAGTGAAGCAATTACTCAGGTACTTTGGAGTGAAGGACGAATATTTATAGTCTCAAATGCACACATACCGGGAATGCATCTCAGAGCGCACATTGATTTTACCATAACAAATCGAATGCATTCCAAGCAGCGCATAACGCGAAGTGTTCCTTAGCTTGGTATTTAGAGTAAAAATGTACAAACAAGAGTGCATACGCCACATGTCACAACTCAGATTGAAGAAAAAAAAATATATGAAACTCAAACAATACATTGCCTTTGATATCCTTACAGCCTTAAAAGTGTATATCATCTACAAAATGAAGTCTCCCTTCAGTTATTCCAACTAAGATTGAAATTCATAGATCTACGAGTCCCAACAACGTTTGTCCGCTTTTATGAGCCAGACACTCGGAAATCCGTCAAACCTATTCATTTCATTTCATTTCATTTCATTTTGTTTAATTTATTTACCCGCAGGCCATAGTGCACTACAGAGGGGAGTGAGGAACATTGAGTCGCTATTGAAAGGACATATGGGAAAAAAAACAATAAGTAGCAAGATCACCAAAATCAGGTAAAGGGACTAATTTACGCCTTCTTAAAAAGAACACCGTCAGTCATTAAGGCGATGGAGGCCTGAAGGTGGTTTCATTCAAGGAATGTGCGTGTAATAAAGGAATAGTAGAAAGCATTGCTATTAGTATGAGGGACACGCACCTTATATATATAATCGACTGGCTTTGTAACATAGAAAGGAAGTTCGAAGAACCTATCTAGCAGAGTAGGGTAATGTCATACATTTTGTGAAATAAGCTTAACCGAGTGATATTTTTGCGGACCAATAGGTGTGGGAGTAAAATATTAGTCTTTATCAAGGAAATACTTGACGTTCGATAGTAGTTGAAGCAAGTGACACGTAGCGATTTGTTTCTTGTTCTTTCAAGTGACGCATTTAGTGAAGAGACAGGACCCCAAATGGACAATGCATACTCTAGTTTCGATCGTAATAGTGTTTTATACAGTACAACCTTTACTGATTCTGGTGTCAATCAGAATTTTGTCTTCAAATATACCAGCCTGCGTTTTGAATCGTTAGTAACGTTTCTATGTGAGATTTGGATGTTAGATCCGACGTGATATGGAAACCAAGGTACTTGTGTTCTGAAACCGACAGCAAAACATTTCCTTCAATATAACATTCTGTAGGCACTGTCATACATCGGGATACGCGCAAATATTCATATTTATTTAACATTAGGTGCATGGACCAGGACTCGAGCTAGAAATGCCTCGTAGTCTCTCATAACACCAATGATTTGTCGATGCAGTATTTAGTGTGGACTTAAATTATAATTTGTGTCGTTACAGAAGCCGCGGATGCCCGGACAATCTTCAAACCACTAGCTTCGTGTCGAGCGTTACATTCGGATGTGCAGTACTTTGGTTGGTGAACACTTCTAAATAAATATCATTACGAGAGTTCTATTCTTAAGATTAATAACCGAAATTTTATATGTGCTGCATTTTTTCACCTAGTGCTTGCATTACGGCGCCAACTGCCGGCTACGTTTCGGGGACTTATGGATACAGAACAGCCAGCATGGTCCTTTTCGGAGTACTTTTTGCCTGGGTAAGGAGAATCCCCGCCTGCCTTTTTAGATTGTGCAGAGACTGTTAGCAAACATACACATTTAGGCCTTCATAGAAGCTTCATGAGTGTGCGAATAAAGGCAGATTATTCTATACTTATCTCTTTATATATTTTACCTTTGTTGCACATCATCCTTTTCATGTTTACTTGTTTAGAATAGCTCATAAGAGCCACAAGGTTAATAGATCTAAAATAAACCTATAGTGCTGATACGTATGAATTCTGAAATCGTTTCACTGCTATTATTAGCCCAATTTATTCGTTTTTTCCAGTTTGACTGATACTGTAGGATTATGTTATATACCAACCTATCTTTCGGGTACTATGTTTATTTACGTAGGAGTGTAATTTTAAAAAAAAGTCATCACGCATTAATATACAGAGTAGAAGACATCTAGAGTAAAGTACTTATGCAAGTCCAACGCAACAAATGCATGAATGGTAATCAAAATGATAGCAAACAATTTATAGCTAAAAACTTGTATTCTCATAGAGACTAATTAATGCCAGAGACATGTGTCTTTTATCTATCGTCAAATTTTCTCACGTATGGCATGGGTTCATAAGAACAATGTTGCTTATTAATATAGCCTCCTTGCCATACCGTCTACAGCCATATTTATTTTTGTCTTTTTATATGGACTGTCTTACGCTTTACGTTGTTTTCTGTTCCAGACACCAGTCCTCTTGATCTTGTGGCTACGACCAAGTTTGTTGCGAGGATCAAAAAGATTCCGGTATCCCTCGCAAGAAAACTACATGTAATGATTGCATAAGCTATACCCGTAAAAGTTTCTTTTCTGCTAACCGATCTTTCTGGGTCAGCAAAAAGTTCATTCAAATTCTAAAGAAACAACTTTACCGGCTTTTGATCTTTAAAATTTATGCCAGATTGGAAAAGCCTGCTGCAAGAACTATCCGATGTTGGTCTAGGCGCTGTTGCAACTCTTCGTCCCAATCCCCTCTTTTAGAATATAAAACTAAATAAATATAATATTTATATTTATCTATATACAGTGCGGTCTGCACAGGGCTTACGAGAAACCGCAGGTGACTGACTGCCTAGTAAAAACAATTATTTGTAGGGCACGCACCTGGCAACCTTGAGATACCTGTTCGACGAGCTGTCGGACTGCTAAAGCCAATTTTGAGATCTATAGAAATGCACGCACCGGCTGAAACACTTTGGTAGAATACATGACGAACAAGAAACAACAAAAGAAACACTTCCATTGAAGGCCGACGGGAAACCATGAATAAAAGAACTCTCCCTAATTTCGTTGTCTCTATTCGAGAAAGAGGAAGACCCTCATACTTTCAGCTGGATGGAGCTCAAAAACACGCTCCTGTGGAGGAGATTGAGAGAAGAGAGCGACACAGGTAATTGGAGAGAAGGAACCTGGGAAGCGGTTTTCTTTCCAGCAGGAGACGATTCCGTAGGTCCGCCTCTAATACTGTATTTGCCATAATTTATTTATACCATAGGTGGTGTTCCGGGTATTTGCTCTTGTCCGGTTATTCACTTTTGTTTCTTCCTCAATATGTTCTTCCTCTTTGCCCGTTACGCTCGCCTCTCCCCAATAGGGTGCACGTGCAGGACAGGGCGAGCCTATTATTAAAAATAGCTAAAAAAAAGTTAATGAAAAAAAAAAAAACAACAACGGTGAGAGGTGAATTTGAGTGTATTTTTTTCCCGTGAATTTGACTATTTTTTATTTTTATTTAATTTTATTTTTATTTACATGCCCAAAACAACCATGCAGGTCTCCTCTTTGGTGCATACATATATACATACGAACAGGAAAAAAAAAACACAATTGCAGGTTTCAAATACAAAGCAACAAACACACAATATTTAAAGTTCGGCAACAAGCACATTCACTTGGTTCCTGAACGCCTTAATGTTACTGTATATATCAAGTTCGGCATTTTCAATATTGATAAACATAGATTGTATCCGTAAAGGGGAGATGACTTACAGATGATGTGAATGCTGAAAGTAGTGCAGGTCCTAGTGGAACGAGGAGGGACCTAAATGTTTACATCACGTAAAAGCGAAGCACTCTGAAATACGCTATTTACAATTTTGTACAGAAAAACTAAGTCGCGCTCTGCTTTTCTATTGGTCAATGGTATCAAAGAAATCCTATTAAGCAGAAAAGTGTAGTGAAAATAGAAACGACGTTGGAAGTAGCGATCATAAGCAATACGCATTAGTTTGTGTTGCACATTTTCGATGGTGATTGCTTGTGTTTTTGATAACGAATTCCAGGCCACAGAGCCGAACTCGAGCCTAGACCTAACTAGGGCACAAAATAAACGAATAATGGAGGCCGGGCTCTCGAGTGGCTGAGTAATGTCGCATATAATACCCAACATTCTCGTCGCCCTACCAACAATAAACGACGCGTGTGGAGTAAACTTGAATGCATTATTCAGATACACGCCAAGGTTTTCTACAACAGATGCACGCTTGATTGTCACTCCGTTTATAATGTAATCATAGTGTACTATACTGCGACGCCTGCAGAAAGACAATACATTTGTTTTCAGTGGATTCAGTGATAAGCTATTTGCCGAACACCACTGAACAACACGTACATCATCATGTTGCAGAGCATGACAGTCAACAAGAGATTTTGCTCCCATAAAACGCTTGATGTCATCGGCACACATCAGTAACTCAGCACTATCTACAAGGCCGCTAGATTGTTGACGAAGATTGCGAACTAAAGGGGGCCAAGAATATATCCTTGAGGGACAGCAGATGTTGAGAAAAAAAGGTCAGATGAACTGTTATGAATACGAACACTGTTTGGACGAGAGGACAAGTAACTTTCGAGCCAGTTACACAGCTCTGAACAACAACCGTACGGCGATAGTTTGTGTAACAACAGTTCATGATTTACTTAATCGAAAGCTTTTGACATGTCAAAATAAATACAATCAACTTGTCCTCTGTTTAAAACATTGGGGGCAGAATAGTTGAAAAAAGTGCAACGATTGGTTTCAACCGACCGGCCTTTCAGTAAACCATGCTGACAAGTCACAAACTTTTGGCTGAAATAAAAAAGAATTCGGGAATGCACAGTCCGCTCAAAAATTTTAGAAAACCCCGACAATAAAAATGTGGGGCGATAATTACTTCTGACGGAGCTATCGCCTTCTTTTAAGATAGGTACCAGAACCTCTTTGTTTCATAGTGATGGAAAGACACCGGAACTCAGAGAGAGGTTAAAGATATGTAACAGAATGGGTGTGAAAATGTCACTGCAGCCCTTTGTAATAAACGGTTGAATACAGTCAGCGCCTGTAGATAACTTTGGTTTTAACTGTTTAATTGCTTCTTCGATTTCTTTCGTATCTACTCTGATACCAGTCAAGAAGTCATGGCAGTTCGTTTTAACTTCTTGAGGCGGAGCAATATCCTGGCTGGTTGAGTAACAGCTACTGAAGTAAGTAGCAAATATATTCGCTACTTTTAAATGAGATGTAACATACCTCACATAGTTATTTGTACGCAAACAAATGCTTTGGTTAGAATTGCGAGTCTGCTTTTTTGCAAATTGCAAACGGTTTTTGGGTTCCGGTTCAAGCTACACTCTACCTGGTCAAGGTGTAGGCGCTTGACCGTCGAATATAATTTATTCGCTAAGGCTTTCTATATACTGAACTTTGTGTGATATAAGGAAGAGTCATTTTGTTTGAGAAGTCTATGAAAGTGGTCTTTTTTCCGCATGTACACTTCCAACTCTTTAGAAAACCACTCAGGATATATTCAAGATTTTGCAATGCATTGCTGCACAAATAGATCAATTCCGTCTTTAACCATTAAAGAAAATATTTCGGTCACCAGTTCGATATCAGTCATAGTGAGCAGGGCGCTCCAGTCACAGTTTTTGAAGTATTTATACATAATCAGGTAATCGCCTTTAGATTAATAGTAAGTAGAGTAGGGATACGTTGCTCGCTTTTTACGAGGAAGACAGAACTCAACTGTGAATGGAGGGAGGAAAAAATCATCCTGCGCAAAGGGGGTTAAACTAGGAGCTACAGAGTCAACCGACATGCTGGACAGAACAAGGTCAGGAACATTTCCAGCGCAATTCTCAATTCTGTTAAGTTGATCCAAGCCACAGAAGCTCATAACGTCCAATAAAAATAAAGCCTTATTTTTGTTATGAGGCTGCTGCTATTAACATCTCCAACTGACCAATCTACAGCCGGGAGATTAAAATCGCCATACAGCTGTACCCTGTACCTGCTGAAATCGATGTGTTTTTTTTAAGATTAAATACTATTACTATCTTAATGTTAGAGTAGTAGTCATATACATTAACTTTTATTACTAATCAATGCGTTTTCCCTGAAGATGTCTCTCAACGCCAGAAAACACGGAAAACCTTCGACCAGTTTTTACGTCATACCCACTTCTTTCCGCCACCAAGCGCGCGTCGCTCGTGTGGGCAGCGTGTACAATTGCAGGCTTGCCAGGTATATTCCCCCGCACTGAAACCAGTCGTGACGTCTTTTTCTTACTTTTTTGAAGAGAGCAAGAGTGGGCGTGCATAACTTTGATAGGCGCTGAAGAAGCACGAGAGCAGAGATTACGAAACCTCCTCCAATGACGTAACGCTCCGGGTAAGAGGACTGCAACGGTACATTGAAAATGATTTCGTGCAGCCTCCGTGCACGACATTAGGAAATAGTCTCGACATTCGTGATTCTGGAGGCCAAATGAAGATGATACAAGTGTTTCTACTCAAATACAGATCCGCTTAGTTTTGCAGACATCCGACGAACTGTGACTGTTTGTGTAAGATGGCGAGTCGAGCCCTTTCGCTTGCTTTACTAAATCGCCCAGATGAATCACAGTCATTATCTTGGGCAGGGGGGGGGGGGGGGGAAGGGGAGGTCCGCGTTATCTCTATTACCCTTTCTCTAGAAAGTGAGGGGAGATTTCCCTAAATAACTTGATAACCAAATGGCGCATCGCTCTTCGTTAAGGCGTGTTCAGTGCAAACGCTGCTGTGCAGCTGTACTGGATGGATGGGTGAAGATTTGGCATGCTCAATCCCGTAATATTCAAGGGGGCAACCCTGAAGGCATAACACACGAATGACGTTCTCCAGACAGAGACCACCATCTAGCCTTACCAGTGACGCAGTACTTGATGGTTATTTGCGAGACTAACAAGGTATGCCTCTGACTTTTTGAGAACAGCTTTGACTTCATGCCACTTTGACGAGTTGTTCCTGTCCACAGATGGGTTTGTTTAGAGTGTAAATTTTCACGATGAATTGCCAGTGGTATATTACAATTACTTTAGAGGATGGGCTTCCTGGAAAAAATCTTCTTACGTTTAGGGTTTTTCTAGTGTTTCTGATGTTTTGCTCGTTTAGCAAATATGCACCACGCAACATGTCGCCGAAGGACACCCCTAAAACACGATCATCAGATCCTTCTAGCGATTGGTTCAATACATTCACATACTGCGTGTTGTGTCACACGTCTTTTTTAATTGATTAGTTATATGATTACGCTGTCTATCAGAAATGGTCGCTTTCACGATCCAATATTTATTTTTTTCATTAGATATAGGTTGTTTAACATTTGTAGAAACCTTTTTTTTGGCATTCGAGCCAACACGAGTGCTAAAGAAGGCTTTATTATCGACTCCAATAAAAATAGTCACAGACACCTTAATTCCTTCCTATAAGGCCTACCCCGCCTTTAAAGGGGCGCTGACACCCCAAAGGTCGTATTTATTTTTATTGTCTAAAACGATGCAAGTTGCAGTCATAGACACGCAAAAAAAACCGCATCGCGAAAAAAAATTTTCTTGCGCGCGCGCGCGCCTTTTTATTTTTGGCGTTTGATTTTCCCGCCTCTCGCCTCCTCGCTTCTTTTGATCGGTGACGTCAAAAATCATGAAATTTAGAAGCTTTGTAGGCGACATCTCTATAACATTTAATTACGGCAATCCTGAAACATGTTTTTTAACGCAATTGCGAACGCACTACGGCCCTTCTTTTTGAAATACCAAAAATCGGGAGTTCGTTGTGGTGCCGTCTCCTGGATTTGTATCCTCCAACGGAAAACAGGCGACACCGCTCAAAACCGGTCCGCCGGAACGCCGCCGCTCGCTCCTTTCCTCCTCGCTTTGGGTCGCCATGGCAACCGCAGGGAGTGGTGAAAAAAAGTGAACTCTCAGGAATCCGCAATTTTTGACGTCAAGGCACCGGCGCCGATCGCGCGGGAACTTCGAATTCGGC